CCCCCCCTCCCCAAATCAGATCTACATGCACAACAGAAAGAAAAGACAGAGCGAGAAACCCTCCAGTCTCATGCAAGCACATGTCAAGACCTATTGAAGCGTCGTCACCGTGCAGCAGCAGCTGGCGCGAAAACCGCCGGTTTGCGCGGGAGAATCATATTTAAAGCAAAACAGCGGAGTGGCCGAACGCTTCGCGTTTATTCATCCGCATTGAAAGCGTCTGGTTTGGTCTCCCTTCTTGAACACTCCAATCCCACGGATCTATCTTTGACAAGACGAAGGAAAAGAGAAACCCCTCAGTCAGTCTGGTTTTGCCTACTTCGACGATCCCTCTCAGGTAACATGCTGCCAACCAACTCGATTAAAGCTTAGAAAAAACCCGAACACACAATCTGTCCTTCAGTCCCTAATATACATATATGAGCTACCAAGGTCTTTACAATGCTGCCTGCAGTCAAGTTGGAAGAAAATTAACCTTGTATTTCCACAAACGAATATTCAAATCAGGTGTTATTGTGGATTCAGTTTGCCACAATATGCACTGTATCCTACAATGTCCAGAGGTAAATCAAAATTATTCGTTAAAATGGTAATAAATCCAGAATACACACACACACAAAAAAAAGTAGTCCAGAAAGTTTACTGATGGCACTTCCATCCTACAGTAACATGTGGTGTGATCTGATCGTCCCTCCCCACCCGACCCCTGCGATAAAACACCCGTCTTAAAAGTAAACCATACTCTGTGCACAACTTCATATATATTTGCTTTTTATCCTAGTCTACTGTATATCAGAAAGCAAGACGGTAGATGAACTCCCTGACAATATTAACACAGCACACTTTACATACACGCACACATTCTCGGTAGAAAATTCGAATCGGATTTGCATTTTGCGTGAGATCTGAAGCAGATATTTGCCCGAAAGAGGTGGAAACAAAAAACAATCAGCTTGATGATGATAAACTTGATGACTTTTTGAATCTCCCCATGACATGAAGAACATCAGCTGGCGGTTTCAATATTCAGCTATTGTTAAATCCCACGTATGTGTTTCGATTGGCACTTCATGCTTGAAGCGTGTTGCACTGAAATCAAGTCATATATATCGCTCGCATACACTTATTCCCTGTAGACCTAGATCATTAAAAAAAAAAAAAAAA